AGACAGACCGTAAGCAAATCCAGTGTTAGTTTGGGGTGATACAACTATTCCTTTACCTTCCAAAGAACAGCCCATTAAAAACGTGACGGTCCAGAATTACAAACGGCCTATTTTGAACATATACAAATATACACGGGCACAGCAGGCACTAAAAACCCGTGCCCAACTTCACTTACCATAAGGCCGACTTCACACAAGCCCCCGACAAACCAGAGGGCTACATGGTCACATACAGAGCAGCATTTGCTTTCTACGGCATTTTTTAGAAGTATTCGACAGGAGCAGACACGTAATTCTTTATTAAACAATCAAAGACAACAAAAGCAAGTTTCTGTTGTCCCATCGTATTATACTACTAATCCTCTTTGGATGGCAATCAAAAGACCCCGAAATGCCAAGCTATGGAAGCGTATTTCCAAGCAGTGGTAGCCTCTGGCTCTTTGGCTACGCCTTCAGTCTGTTGCTTTGGCAGACAGGAGTAATCCTGGTCTCTCAAATGGCAAATTCCCAGTGTACTTACCAGGGCTATCTCAGACTTCTTTATTTTACTTAAATGGCATTTTAATTGCAATAAACCATTTTTTTTCTCCTCTGGAAGAGGCAAGTAGGTTACTACTGTTGCATTCCAGACTGCATTCTAGAAATGCATTTTTCTACATCATCTATTGCCCACATGCCAAGCTTTCATCTGAGACAGTGTCAGCAGTTACTTAAACACAGCACCTTAGTGGACTGTTTAAACAGGAAATTAGATGTACTATTTCCTCCGATACCTCTCCAAAAACAACTAAACCCATTCTGTATCTTCCCTGAGCTATTACTTACACAGGAAACTTAAATGCTACGCAAGTGTAGCAGCCACGGCTGTGGCCACATAGCAGTTTAAAGCACATATATAGTAGAATATTTATATCATCATTTTACATCATTCGCATGAAAACTAAAATGAACATTTTGAAATAAGTGGAAGCATTCAAGTAAGATGCCATTAGAAAGTGTGGTGATAATAAGCTGTACAAATTAGTGAGTGCGGTGGGCTGGCATCAAGGTTGGAAGACTGGGAGATGCCATCCCTAGGCTGCGTCTTGGTGCCCAGGAAAAAAAAAGAAAAAAAAAAAAAAAAAAAAAAAAAAAAAAAAAAAGTGAAACAGCCTGACTTAGTTATTTTAGTCTCTCTCATTAGAAATTGCAGGCTGCCTAGAGATAATGTAATGAATTAGAGCAGAATTGGGTAAGAAATGGAGTGTCAAGAACAGGGAGAAACGTAGACAGGACGGGGTCCAATATTTCTGGAATAATCATATTATGCCACAAATAGCAGAGACAGAAGGCATCATTGTGTACACCCCGTGCTGTCAGGAGGTACCTGTAAATCCCACCAGCAAGGACCCTGTGAGCCACACTGCTCGGTGTATCTGCCACGGGATGTGGAAGCGTGTTGTCATGCTTACCGGACCGATGACCTAACGAAGGGATTGAGCCCCCTCACCCCGTCCCTTATTTTTAGGCTGGAAATCATTTGTCAGGAGACTCAGTCAGAAACACTGTGCGATGCACTGCAAACCCATATGAAACTTTGTTCCGTTGTTCCGTGTTTTAACATGCAATCCCACGGAATAAAACTCTTAACTCATAACTAAGGACTTTGTTGCCAAACAATTAAAGAAACAAATATCATACTGTAGGATCAAAGATGAAGAATATTGTCTCTAAGAACTAGAAGGTCCTCAAAATTAATACCTAGCTATTACTGGTTTCAGTTTTAACAAGCCTCATGCAAAGGAAGTCATCGTGCAGTCATCTGGATTTTCCAGATATGTTCATCACTTCAAAAAATAAACTCAAGGTACTAGTCAACATTTTAAGATCTACTCCTTAATTACCATTGAAGTGCTTGCGGTAAAAGCGTGTATACACTTTTTAATGAGAGGAGGTTATATACTCAGCACTGAGAAATACTCAACTGAACTGCCAAAACTACCACCTGATGTATATGCATGCATACATACCTACAGCAAGACCGCAGTGCACAACTGGTACAGGGGTCAGCTGTGTATGTAAATATGGCAACTACTCTAACACAAGGAAAAGAGATGAAATTTTAATCAAATGAGACTCGTATCAGGTTCAGGGGAACTGAAAATGGGCTAAAAATGAAAAAATCTAGCAGAAGAATGACTTTAATATTAGGTAACATTTCAAATTTTTATCACCTAAATCCACAAAATTCTTGATGTGCTCCTTCTTGTGTTCTCTGCAGAGCTGAAGTCAGGACGAGCTAAATAAAAGATAATGCAACTAGGCATAACACAATAAAAGATATTACCTTCACAATGCATTATTGCTGCCAATTATAAGAATCACTTCAACTTAATTTCAAAGGCACAATCACCCTCAACTGTAACAGTCTCTTTTTTAAATTTCAAACAGTATTACATTAAGGCAATAACTCACCTTCCAGCTATAATATCAGTCTCCCTTATTGCAAAAATGCATTTCATAAATACTTCTCATCGACAAGTCAAGCTAATTCAGGTTAATTTTATTGTATTTTGGTGCTATCTCACATTTGTGTGCAATTACCTTTATCATTTTATTGCCATGCCAGAAAGTAATCAGAACAATTATTTGAAAAAAGGAGGTATATAAATTCTAAATCACACTTGCTGGCATTTTTGATAAAATAGCAGCTTTATCTCAGAAAGTGGCAGGGACATTGGATAAATCATGCATCAGTCAAGTGTAGCTGACCCCCAAGTGCATTGCACAATATCAGGAGTGCTTCAAAAGAAACTTTCCTATATAATCCATCATTCTTTATAATACCAAAATAGCTATACCTGAAGAGTAGGAGCTAGAGAATAATAACAAAATAAATCTAAGCAATATGAAGAAAACCATTAATAGTGCTCCTTAAGCCGAAGGAGAGTCAGGAATCTGAACTGCGTTCAAGGAAAGAATTTCATTGAAATTTTTGAAGTGAGTAGAACAGCTTTAAACAAATGAGGCTGCAAACTGTATTAAGAATTCACTAAAAATACAAATACATCTAGAGGAAAATAAATACACACAAAGGACAGGTGTCAAAAAGACTCCTACAAAAACACAAGATTAGAGTCTTGGCATACATAACTGAATTTTCCCATCATTATCAATCTCGGTTCGATTCAGGACAGCATGGCCAGGCGTTTCACTGCATTAACAGAGCAAAGCATCAGAGTTAGTACAAGGATCTATTTACTGCGTTTAAATATAGTAGCTAAAAAGAAATCCAGAGAGGAACAGAATGAACCTTAAGTTTCTCGTGAAATAAAAAAAAAAAAAAAAAAATGCTAGATTGTCATAAGACCACCACAAACCCCAAAACCTCCTAAATACAGAGCCATCCCTGATGTACGCTCACGCACAGAACTACGGGCACATTTCAGCTTCTTCCACACAAACCCAACACACGTCTCTGCTCACCCCAACAGACTCGGGGATCGAGCGGGAGACAAATACAGAGCCTGTGGAAAATGCCCACGTCTGGCTGCTTCCCGAAACCGTTTTTCAGCAACCTGCTTAAAAACTGTTCAGCACATTGCATCGGTGATAATTGATTCCTGCAAAAACCGTATGCTGGGCATGTGTTGTGTGTCACACCGACGGGTGGTTGTGCTCAAAGTAAAACTGTAGGCTAGCCACACACCATGAATATCACTGAAGAAACATGAGCGACATTACACACATATTTAATATACATCCAGAAAGGGGGGAAAGAGGACCAGAGAGCAGAGGAGCCTGGGCTGGGTCTGCCCAGCCCCCAGCAAACCCCCACTCCCCACGGCACATGGGGCTGCGAGGGTTCACGTGTTTTACCTTAAACCTGCTGCTTTTCCACATATCAAAAGAGGAAAATTCCCCTAACAGCCAATGCTGCACCTTTCAACTAGAAGTGAGAGTGGGAGAAATGAAAAGGTTAGATAATAAATGATTAGTTTCATGTGGCTTGCCAGCTATATCACACCTAGCTCTGAGAGGGAACTAGTGATTCTTCCTGCCATGCTCAGTTGTGTAGAAGGTAATCAAATATTTCTCTGCCATTATTTCAGGTACCTGCTAAAAGATGTTTGCAACTGGAAGATACATAAATATAACTAAACAGATGATTGTTTCATAGAAAAAAGTGAAGCAAGCTTTTGTTTTCCTGAATTTCTTCCTCAACCCTTCCATTTAAAACAAAACAAAACAAAAAAATTCTTTTGTGGAAATGAGAAAGAAAATCTTCTACAAAGGTGCAGAAGACACGGAATATGCCAAAACACTACTTCTCTAAGCTACGTTACATTACGTAAAACAGATTAATACCACAACAGTTGCCACTATTATTATTTTTAACAGTGACAGAAGTTGCCATCAGGAATAGTCAGATATGCAAGTTTGATCGTACTAGCAATATTTTCCTAGAGGAGCATTACTAATGTTACAAAAATAGTTATTCCACAGAAAAAAAAGATGTATTTGTATCTACAAAGTTCATTTTCATTATCTGAAGAATATAGTTATTGACTAAACATGTGTTGATGCCTTTCTTTCAGGAAGGCAAATTGTTCTTTATTTCTTGATAAACAGCCATGCTTTCTTATTTTACTAGAAAGTTACTGCCCTACACTTACCTCACTGCAGCATCAAGCCACAAAATCAAGCCTGGTTTTCAATAAATACGGTATTTATTAGGAAATGGAAGCAAACAGCTAACATATAACTGAAAATGTAGCATTGCCCTGTTAGTATATGCTCTGTGGCAGACAGATACGTGACGGGGAAAGGTCCACTGATGCCTGTTACCAACCATGACAGAGCTACAGAGATTTACAATGCAGCATCAATCTTGTCAACTGGATTCTTAATACTGACTGCTGGACACTGGGGAAAAAAACAAACTATGTTACATGAACTCTTCTGTAATGCTGGACTTTCAGTATACACCTAAATGCAAGGAAATTTTACTAGAAACTTACATTTGGAACAAGCCTTGATGCCATGGTAGATGAAAGGTCTCCACCTGTAAGGAAAAAAATTCACAGTTAGATTGAGATTTAATTTGAATTCCACAGGAAGACCAGTGTATGTCAACAGTGTCATTCCCCTTATAACCAACTCAATACCAGTTTTTTAAATGGGCTCTAAGTTCCAGTACATGTAATTTCAAAAAGGGAACTTGATTTTTTTACAAGTAACCACGATTTTTCATCTTCATTAGTTCATCTACTGCTTGTCATGAGTCAAAGAAAAAATCAACAGATGGTACAGTGAAGACTTCTTCCGTAGCAAGGACCACACAGCTCTGATGTTTTGAATAATGCCTTAAAAGATATAGTGTTCATTTAAGAAATATTTGTACGAGCAGCAACAATGCACTCCTGAGTTACCTGGTAAAATAAACAACCTTTCGTGAGTTAGGAAATAACATATGTCAAAGCACAAAACCAAGCCACTTTCTTAAATTATTTTCTGGGTTTAAAAGTACAGATGGCAAAACACTAAGAAAGTACCTAAGAAATGTCAACTTCACTTATTCTAACTCTAATCTTCAACAGTATCATTATTTACATATCATTAGCAAAAAATACAACAGGGTCTTCTTTGCTCTCTCCTTTGAAATAAAGGATGGTGGCTATTACCTTGGCATTTCATTCTTCCCCGCTCTATCCCCTTTCCAGTGCTATTTAGTCAAGATCGCTGTATCTTTGCTAAGATGTGCTATAAACATGACATTTTTGAAAATCAGGGAGTTTATCTGACAAAGCTCAGCCTCAGAGTCCTGACTCACAGCCAGCGTCAATGGGAACTCTTCCACTTAAGTCAGGGAACTCACTACTCCACAGGAGAGGGTAACTGTATCCGCTTAAGGAATAATAAATCTCTTAAAAGAAATGATACACTTGCCTGAGGCTTTCCAGGTCCTCTCAAACACTTCAAGCCTTGAAGTCCAAGGCCATGACAGAACTTATAGCCATTTCCAAAGTACTTACAAGAAAACAGTAATATTTAATATTAATATTGCATCTTAATTATTTTAAGAGTTTAAAATTAAGATCCTGAGTAATTAGTACTTTAAATATACTAACAGTGATATCCTTGCAAGATAGGCATCGCAAAGATCACTCGTTCCATTTTTAAACGTGACTAAGTCAGGCAGATGAGCAACCTAATATAATATTACTTAAAATATCTGTGGTAGGGCTAAAAATAAAATAGCAATTTATTTCTATTGTCAGTTCAGAGCTTTGACTTTCAAGGTGTGTAGTAACACTCGGGTTTTTTTCAGATTTTTTCTGAAGGATAAAGCTAGACAGTTCGCCTCAAAAAGCAGATTTATCCAGCATCTCATTTCAAACATGGGCTAAACACCAAAGAGAAGTACAGTGTGGAAGTGCACTGCATTACGCCGGCGTTACTGAGGGACACCCGGGTCTGCCCTCTGCCTTTGCTACCCCTGCCCAGGAGGCCAGGGCGCACAGGACATTATTTTTGCCCCTCTTCCCATCTCCTGCCAGCTGATCTGATGGCGTACCCTGCTCTGGGTTCTGGTGAGAGCCTCTCGCTCCCCATCTTCCCACTGGGAAAGGAAGTTTTTCCAAGATAGCAGCTACTCGTGGGTGGATGAAGGGCTGCTCCCTCAGGTCAGCCAGACAACAATCATTCACCCCGGCTCAAGGAACTCAGAGCCCAGCAGACATCTCTGGGACAAAACTGGTCAGAAACATCCCTTTTCATAACAATTTTTTTGTTTTATATTTACTTGCAACACAGCCTCTCTCCCTGCTTACAAAAGCAAGCGTGCCAAATGCCAAGATCAAGTTAAATTTCAAGTTGCTTTAAATAGCATCTCGTTTGTGGCGATGACAGCAGTTTAACGGCTAGCCAGGTTCCACATGATGTATTAATTCTCAGATAAAAATCTCTGCACACCCCCATAAGGATGCTCACACTCACATACTTTTAAGTGCAATCCACACAGAGCTCAAGAGTAAACCCAGATCAGTCACCAAAAATTCCTTCAATAGTTGTAGGCAACTCCCCTTGACACTTCCTTAGTACAATAGTCTCTCAAAAGCATGAGTAAAGGTACTCGGCTTCTCCTCAGTGTGGGAGATTCATGCCGAGGTCTCCCCGAATGGTATTTTTGACCTCCTGAACCAGAGAATACAAAGTGACTTTGAGTGTAAGCACGTACAGCTCACGAGGGATGCAATGTCTGCTGGAGAAACTGAGCCCAGCTTCAAGGAGATGAGGCTTCGAGAATAGGAAATGGGTTCCAGCTTTAAGAGAAAAAGTTCTTGCAAAAGGACTAGGTAGCACCTCATCTGTCAGTGCAGCTGCTCGTTCCCTGCTGGTAAAACCCAAGAAACAGGGCGACACACTGGGGCCCAACCAAGACCTTGGTGAGGCTGGTGGCTGAGAAGGACAAATTAACCCAAAGGCTGCACAGTGCCTAAGGAGAGCTGGAGATTGATTAGTGTTCATGACCTATTTCTCTCCCAGGTTGAGCTTAACCATCTGCTAGTCCAGAATGGCCTTCGTCCAATGACAGGGAACTTGGGCAAAGCCAGAGATGCCCAAGCCATGGTGGTTAGAAGACTACCTGCAGCTGTAGAGGGGAAACCCGTACAAGACCACTGCTGTAGTCGGAAGGCTAGAAAAATCCAAAAGATCACTCCAAAACGCATCTCAACCTTGCAAAGACTGTCTTGGAAGAGGCCAATATATGCACTGCTAACTGCTTTTCACATTTTGTTGAAGGGCTCCCCTGAGGTTGACTTTGAAGAACCAAATACCTCTTCTGAATGGCACAGGAATTGCCACTGATCAAATTCAATCATGACGCCTCACTCTGGATCACTTTGCAGAAACTGAGACACCAGAATCACTGGACCCATCTTAGAAGACTGAAACCTTACTCTCAGCAACCCCTTCACCAAAATGGAAAATTTCCTCCTACATTTGCACAGAGGATAAACCAAAGGGATCGATTAACAAGCAGAAGTGAGGGTGGAAAAAAAAAAATTAAAAAAAAAAATAAAAATAAAAAAAAAAAGAGTAATTTGTCCCCATCCTCACTAGCTCAGGGCTGCCTGACTCAGACCACTGAAGCCCATCTCCTGTTGAGCTCCTGCCCCAGCTCCCCTTGGCCTTTCAGCCAAGACGTGCCCAAGCTCCCCAGAACTTCTGTTCCCACCCAAGAGCTGTGCTGAGGCTGAAGCCCAACTGCCGAGCAGCCAGGCAGCAGGATACTCCTGAGACACCTGGAAGATACACAAATGCCTTCAGGCACTGACTAGAAGCTCTTGCACAGCAGGAGATGAGATGGTACAGGAAGCTAATATATCACAGACCCACCCTGTGAGCATTCCAAACCTCTGAGTATGTCAACGGACCAAAAATTTATAGAAAAGTCAGAGGTTACATCAAAAATCAGATCTTTAAAGGCCATGAAAAATTTCAGCCATAATTTGTTGATAGTCTAGAACAGAAGTTCTCGGGGTTTGAGACACTTTCCTGTTTACTTTCACAGGACTGCAGCCTGGAAAGTACATGTGATGGCAGCACTACCGTGAGGACTCTTAGATTTATAAAAAGTATTTTTCTCAGTTCATCAACTTTTAAAGAGTAAAGGAAGATTCTCCTTGAAAGACAAGTCCTCAGGATCCGCAGAACATAATACTCTCTGGTTTCAGTGCTAAAATTTAAAAACAGCTATTATATCAAGGCAGTATATGAATAAAATTCCATATGAAAACATTTAAAGTACATTAGATTTTTGGTCAAGATGAAAGACTGAAAAAAACTCAAGCAATCTATTCTAATTGGGTTCCCATGGTAACTGTACAATTGGGTTTTTCAGTATAACATCCCAAAGGCCCAATGCACACTTGTAAAATATACTTCAAACAGCCTGAATTGTTTTTACATTACAGCACTCCCAGGAAGATCAATTACTATACATCCCCACCCTAACTATTAGTGGCAGGAGATGTTAACACTATTGGCCATATTAACATAAGTCATGTAAAAAACACCACATATCACCATCATTATATAAAACTAATTACACACTTCAGATTCATCAAACATGTTCTGAGTAATAAACCAATACTAGACTTGTCACAAGATCATGTTTGCTGAATGTTAGAAATCAACCCCAAATACATGCCAAACAATTTTGCTTCTCATATTGATTTCAAGGATAAACAGAATCAATCATTAATAATTACATTATAAGATGACCCATAGGGTTAATCATATTCTTAGAAACTCTCACTATGGAATCAAATATAGCTGCACAAAAAGACAACTGAAAAGCATTCAAATCCAGGCTGTAAGTATTACCAATAACATAAACCAAGGTGCATTCACTAACACGCAACTCGTGTAATTGGTGAAAACAAAATAGTACTACTATTAAAAAAAAAAAAAAAAAAAAAAAAAAAAAAAAAAAAAAAAACCACAAGCCTTTATTTAAAAAAGTTCCTCTCAGATTAACACTTTGCTTTGTCAGACCTCAGTGCCACTTTCTGAAAGCACAACATGGGCAGTAGAACCAGCTTGTCCTTCCAGACAAGCCTTCCATCCCACCACCTAAACCTCAAAGCTACAAGGAGATGATGATCCACGCTGCCTAAGTAGGATTCAAACCCAACTAAGTCACTTATCTTCCGGGGGGGGAAAAAAAAAAAAGCAAAGCAAAACAACAGCAACAAAACAAACAAACCAAACCAAACCAACCAAAAAAACACAAATGAAAAAACCCCAAACAACTATGGCCAGTTTGAATAAAGTCCATCTCCTTTCTCAACCAACCTGCCAGAAATCTTGGTATTTCACCGAGTGAAGCCAGCAAATAACCAGAGGTAGCTCTGGTGTCAGCAGGAGGCTGTGTAAGAGATTTCCGTTTTCCCCCCACCCTTCCCACTAAATTCTATGCGATTATACTAAACTCCAGTGGGGAAAAGACAAAGGGGAAATGGAAGTTTTGTCAGTTGTTTCTCCAGGACGCTGCCCACTGTCTAAAAAAGATGCCGTCGGCCACTGCCAGCCCACTGCAGCCAAGGTGAGTCTGTGCATCTCACGGGTATTTTCAGATGCTGTACCACCTTGTGGTTTTTATACATGAAACAGAAATTAATCTTTTCACAGGGCCTTAAGTATACTTTAGGTGTTTATTAAAAAGTTTAACTAATTAACAGACCTTCTGCATACTTGAATATACAAACAATCAAAGATAACGTTACTGTTTGCATTGTACTGACTGATCTAAAGCAGTCAGATAATTTAAATATTATTGAATGATGATTATGCAGCAGCAACATTTACAAGACAGCACTAATACTTGCTATCTGCTAATGCAGCTACCTGGAGGGAGTTAAATTTGCACTCGGAGCATGTAGATGGCACGATTCAGAAAACAAAGCAGATCTGACTTCAGTGTGCTGTGCTGCTAAAACACACTGCTTTACCAAAAGACTGATTTCATTAATCTGAGCATAATGCACTGAATAGTGGCATGTGAATAATACTTAAAACCTGAAAATGCACCCATCAGGCAAGACCAAAAGTCCATCTCTTCAGTATCCCATCTTCAACAGCCCCCACGGCACATAGCTACTGAGTACTGTAAAAAACAGGCGAAGCATTTTCTGATTTTTACTGGTACACCATCACGCCCCTCAAAAACGGGGGATTCAAACTTCCTGACTCAGAAGTGGGATTTCTGAATGTAAAGTAAAAGCCAGTTTCTGAGCCCAAACCCAGCATCCCCAGCTGCCCATCCCAAGACCCACAGCTCGGCCACACACCGGGCAGTGAACGTAACGCTGCGATCTGAACCGGCGCTCGCTGCTTCTCCGGATGCCGTCAGCTCCTGCTTTGAGAGAGGCAGAATTATTCTGTATTCCCCTCTGCCAAGCTGCCCAAGACTACAGGCCCTCTGTCAGCAGTGCTATTTTACTGCTATTTCACCTGAAAAGCAGAGGGGAAGTCAGAACCTTTGTAACAATGGACTCCCCTGTTCCTCCTGGAGATTAAAGGTGGCTTGTTCAGATCTAAGTATTTTTAATCACCTTCAGAACCTCCACTGCATTGGGGAGAATTTCAGCTGCATGTCCAAGTTTTACAAGTGACTTGAAAAGAAACCTGAGATTATTTATACCATTTAATTTGGCACAGCATAAATGAATAGATAGCAGACAGTCCTGACAGACATCAGGACAGGGTGCGTTTGCTCTGCTGATACAAAACAGTAAATAAGTAAAGAACTTGAAAAAGAATTATCAAAAAGCATCAACATGGTGACATATTTCCAAAGAAAATCTTTCACAGTTACTCAACTTCCATAAAACTCCAAAGCCACACAAGTTTTATTGACATTCAAATACATCTGACTTTTTTTAAACAGTAGTCCAGACCACACAAATAGATCATCAGTTTTAAAATTACAGTTTGTATTTCTGGAAAATACTTCAGTACAGGTTTGGTCTGGTTTTATAGTTTGGTTGCTCCTCCAGCTGTATGTTTGACTTAATACTGGCCCAAACGCAGCTGTGCTGGGTGATAACATTAGCCTTACAGGAACCAAACTTTAACACAGGATTTTTCCTTTCATTGGGAAGGTTTTGCTCATTGTACCTTCAGATAAATTAGCACAACCGAAGCCCTCGACTTCACAGGCAACCTTCACAGCTATCAGCAGTGGTAAGAAACTCAAGAACTAGAAGTTACATTCTCTTCACCGGTCCAGGTATCTTATGAACACTTGGTAAACTAGAGAATTGCACAATCCGTCAATAAAGTAAGCGTATTTTGAACTACTGTCCATATGACTCAATTTGTCAGTAAAAACTGCCACCAGCGCTGCGCTTGCAGAAAAATGTCCATAAATGCATTATTGCGACTGGCAGATCGATGTCCATAATAAAAACAAATAGATTTAACAAGTGCTTGCTTTTACGAGTTAGGCGATTGGTGGGATGTGTACTCAGCTTCACCCGACAACTTCTGGGAATGGGCAACACAGACCGGGTTCGGCACCTGCTGACTTCACCAGTGTTACAAACAGGAAATTATTCTAATGCAGGAAATCTTTAAAACGTATTAGATTGAATACTAATGCCTTCAGGATGTATTTAGAAGTTTCACACATTCAAAATTTAATGTATTGTTCTGTGAAATATAAAATGAGAGATGTTTACAATTACCTCAAGCAATGAGACTTTTTTTTTTTTTGCTTCGCTCTCTTTACAGAAAAGAAGTTTAATTTAGGTCAGCTGCATCCCAGGCAGAATGGCTCGTTAGTCCTGAGGCTGATGTTAAAACACCCCAACAAGTCAGGACATACAATTTGTTCCCACAAAGTTCTTACAGCACCAACACCAGAATGAGCACCACTGCTGAAACTACCTTTCAGACACCACAAGTGAGGATGTCACCGTTTGTGTCAGAGGTGGAGGACATGGCTCACAGGGAAATTCTGCACTGGGTAGAGCTCGAGCAGGTATAGCAGCCAGCGTATGGAGGTTTAATTCATAAACATCAGTCCTTCTCACTCAACCAAAACCCTGATTGCACAGGGAAAGAACAGTACAAAAACAGCCATCCATGCCCTTGACATGTTCTCCTTTGGATTTTCTGCATTACTGTTCCTTCTAACGGTTTTTCCCTTGTCACTGAAGTCAGTTTAAACAGAGTTTCTCTGGTGCAGCCTTTCCATCTTATCCACACTTCCCATAACAAACTTAATACTTTTTTCTGCACAAGTCCTTAAATTAGCCATTCAAGGAAACCCCGATAACCTTCCCAAAGGGCATGAGCTTCTCCTTCAGGCTACTATCCCTTTAGTGATGCCATTAACTGATTCTCTACATACGTTAAGCATTAAACAGTGGTGACAAGTTAATTACAGAGTTATCAAGAGATAAAGTAGTCACGGTAACACAAGTTGCAATATAACTACAACAGTTTCCTATAGAGCTTCTGTTCAGTTGCTGGTGTAATTGGTGTAATTAACTTGTCATGGATCAGAATGCAGATAGGAATTGCTAAAGCCACCTTGCAAGCTCACATGGCTACATCTTTTTTTCCTCTGAAGCTTGAAGCTTTTGGTAGAATTGTCCACATTTGGAACATTTCTGTTTGAAAACAAAGAAAACAAAACTTTTACTTGGAAAAACTGTGTCACAGACTGACAAAACATTCACAAGAAAACAAATAAGCAAATTTCACCCAACTGGATGTTTTTAAACAGAAGTGACCTGCATTACAGGGGTGGGGTTTTGCCCTGGAGGCAATAAGCTTTACAAACATCACAGTCAAACACACATTAAGGAATTTAAAAGATGAATCAAGCCAGAGCAGGGAGGGGGACCTGTTCAAGAGGGTAAAATTAAGACCTGAATAACTTGGGTTTAAAACAAGATATTCCGTGGTACCTGTGCTTCTGTTACGAGGCTGTAAGCACTACCCTGAAAACCAGAGCCAGGTTGTCCCACGTTTACTAACCCTTCAGGTCTTGACACAAGAGGCAGACGTAAAGGTGCATCATCTCTGCTCGCTTCTTCCCGCAGAGACCAGAGAGGAGCCTTCCCAAAGGGGTGCCCGGGGCGCAGGTGGGGGAACAGAGGTGCTAGAGGAGCCTTTCAGCTCCCAGTCCTCCTGCGGGCTTCCACACCACAGGGCAGGGAGGCACTGTCATGCGAGAGGAGATGCCTGATCATGGCCCTGCTTAAACTGCCTGTCCATGCAAGCGAGGGAAGACCAAAGGCCAGAGAGGCAGTTCAGAGCCCTTACACCGCCAGTTTTGGTCCCCCGTGCATTAAGGAGACAAGCAGGGCCGAGAGGCCAAAACCTTCATCAGGTTCACAAGGGAACCCTGTCATCCAAACAGACCCCGCCAGAAGATAACCCTCGTCTTCTGTGCAAGGGGGGCACAAGTCCGGGCCGCAAAAGCTGAGCTGCGACAGTCATCTCTAAACTAAGCGTTATAGCCCCGTTTATAAAATGGAGGCTTTCCTGCACGAGACCCTGGTAGCGACTGCACCTTACCATTTCACAAGGGCCTCCGCTTCACAAAAATAAGATCAAACTCGGCAACAGCTTTATTTGGTAGTCGGGGGCAAAAAAACAACAACAACAACAACAACAAAAAAAAAAAAAAAAAAAAAAAAAAAAGAGTAATTCTTTACATTTACTTTAATAACTGCGAGCAGTTACACCATCATCCCTGTTCTACAAACAGTTGCAGAGCTGGGCTTTTACGCCCATGGCGAAAGGCCGTTTTGATGTTAATATCAAGCTGACGGAGATTATTTTGGCGCGGCTTCGCAGCGACCTAAGGCGACCACAGGCCACCGCCATGCCTCCACCCCTCGCACCGCTCCATCCCCGGCCCGGGGGAAAACCCGGCCTTTTTAGGAGGGCCCCGGCTCCCACAGCCCCCACAAAACCGCTTCCCCTTGGGCGAGGGGGGGGGGGGTTGTTTCACAGAGCTGGGGCTTGGGCCAAGCTTTACAGCACCACCACCTCGCAGGAACGATCACCGGCCGACCCCTGGGCCTAGCGGATTCAAACAGGGCTGTTTCCTCTCCCTCGGGAAGAAGGGGGATGCCGGTGAATATGGATTTAAGGGAGGAAAGGAGCCGCCGCCGCTCGCCCCGCTGCCAGGCCCGGAGGCCCGCAGCCATCTTCCCGCCACCCCACCACCACCACCACCCCCACCCCCGCCCGCCATGAGGCGGCCGCCCCGGAGCCCCCGCACCCACCCGCGCACCTGCCCGCGAAGAGAAGGAGGGATGAACGGCGGAGAAACCGCCGGAGCGTCCCCCCCCCACGAACACCGCGGAAGGGGCTGTGCCTGCCGGGGCGGAGCCGCCGGGCCGGCCCCCTACTTCTTCTCCCCGCGGCCCGGAAGCCGGTGCCCGGGCGGGCGGAGCGGCCTAGGCGAGCGCGGCCTAACGCCCTCAGCGCCGGGCCGGGCGAGCTCGTCGCAGGGGCCGCCCCGGGCCGGGGGGGGTCACCCAAGTGGTTAGAAACACGGGTTTCTGCGAAAAAAGGCCAGCGGAAAATAACGGCCCGTGGGCTGTACCGCAGGAGGAGGCCGAGCCTGCTGCAGCTGTGGTGGTCGTGCACCTCAGTTTTTCTTTCAGGCGCTGAAATGTGTGCGGCTGCTGCCCCAAATCCACCACGCCTGGACGCAAAATGCAGGCCTTATAACTGAGTTTCTATTTTTTTAATTTATTATTATTTTTAAAATTGTCTGGGCTTGTCCTTTGTTCTGCTTGCACGTGACGGCAGGATGATGAAGGGCACCAGGCAAAGGCGGGCGGCGTGCAGGAATCGTCCCTTTTTGCTCATTTGCAAAGTTGAGGATGAGGACCGTGACTCAGACTGGAATTTGTGGAGGGGGAAGCATTTCACAAATTCCTGAAAGAGGAGAGAGGTGAAGGAGATAGGAGGGAGTGAAATGTCAGAGGAAAGCAGACTGGGGGGGGTGAGGTTTATTTGAGGTCATTAAAAAAAAAATCATCAGGACAAAATGTGCCAGTGAAGTTTGCAGCAAGAAACCACTGATTTTCAAGCCAGAGGATCTTTCACTGTCTGAAACTTAATCTGAGTTATATCAGCAAAAATTTTATTAGTCATGTTGTGTGACTCAGAAGCTCTCACAAAATGGAGGAATCCACTTGGGGAAAGATCAGAACAATTTTTAAAAAGTCATTACAGAATTCTGGCAATCCTTTTTTTTTCATAGGGAATGAACTCCATAAATAGAATGGCATGGAGTTAGTGCCTGTGTGTTAAATCTGATTCTAAAAAAAGTGTAAAATACGGTCCAAGATGCAGAAGTTCCCCTAATACAATTGAAAATACCTTTGCAGTGGTTGCACTTGGTGCAAGCTTACAAAAGGGCAACTACTCACACTGGTGTGTAATAGTACTGAGACACTCCTGCTGGTGTTAGAAGTCATATTTTTTAAAACGACACCTAGTTTTCCCTTTTGCTTTCTGGGCCGTTAACCTTGAGTCTCTCAAGGAAATGTAAGCAAGGAATGTTTACCACGCAGTCTTAGTTTCTTTACTATCTACCTAGGCAAAGCATTGGCCAAAAGTTGCTGTTGAAATTGTTCTCAGATAGTAAAAATGTCCGGAGCTTCCACACCACCCTGCTAATTGCAACCTGCAAACACCAATTTTGAACAAGATGGAAGTGATCCGTGAATCTGTGTGATCTATGAAGGATGAATTGCAATGAATATAAATGCTTTTAACAATGATAAATTCAGATCTCATGATATCAACAATTTACCAAGGGAATTTCATGTAAAGCAGCAAAGAAACCACATTAAAATAAAGGAAAAATACATGAAAAGATATTCCGTGTATGTAATAAATTGGAAACTTTTTCTAATCGGTTACAAACTGTTTGTAATAGGTTAGAGGCTTTTGGATCATGTTTTCTTTTTCATGCATCCAGAGTTCATCTTTATGACATTGCTTTTCAGTAGCTGTTAGCAAACATGATTCAAACTGTTGTGTTACTGTGTGATGCTCTATGCTGACAAGAGAAAATTAAGCTTTTCAGTAGTTCTAATGAAGCCCGTATTAATGGTAAATTAAAAGGTGCTGCCATTGCATGCCTCGTGCAAATGCAAAGGATAATGTGAAGATGATCTCATCTCTAAATGAAAGATCTCTTCAGTAACCTCTAGACTGGATGGGATGCCCTATAGATGGTTATTATTTTAGAAGGTAAATATCGAACTTCTCAAACCCTGATTTTTTTGTTTTTTCTTTTTTTGTTTTCTTGTTTTCTCAGAGATCTAAAAATCCAATCTCATGATGTGAATTAAAAGGAAGGAAGGTGGAGATTTCTGCGCTAAAGAGGTGTCTCTGCTGCTTGGCACAAAAAGCCCCAACCAAAATACGTTTATAAACCAACTGTTCTGAAAGCCGGTCTCCACAATCTTCTTTTCCTAAACGATCATCAGTTCTTTTTCGTCCTTTTCGTCCTTCAGATTATCGATACAAAGATCAGCCTTGCAGGTTGGTCTGGATTACTCCAGCCGAGAAGAGCATCCTACTGACCATCATGGCCATGGTAGATTTTAGCACTGACAGAAATGCTGCTTAAAAAGAAAACTTGATTAGCAGCAAAGTCCCTGAAGGACTGCTTTCCCACTGTGAACACGTGTCATCATCGTATAAGTAAATACATACCGATTGATGCAACCTTAAGTTAAATAAGAGGTTCTCAGGGACATCCACACAGTGAGTGCAAGTAGACCTAAGCTCACTTTGCCTCTGGTCTGAGCTAGATAGATCTGAGATATGATGGGAAGGGTATAGAGCTGCTTAATGCATGACATTATCTCTGCCATACGCTACCCTCCGCATCTGAATCGGGGTTAGTTCAGGTGGAGCAAGTCAGATTCTGCTCGTGCCTATCTTGCGAGTAGTGAGCGGCAAGAGAAGAGGTGAAGTAGGATGTTTGCAATAGTTTCAGTTGAGAGAAGTAAAGATTCACTGATACCTCCCAAGCATTAATGAATGTTAGCGTACCATTTTCAGCATTTTGGAAATTTCAGTCTGGTATTTTATCTCTTAAAAATGAATTTATTTTATTTTTGAAATATCAGAATGCCACAATAAAGTGAAACAATGCTAAACTGGATGAAATGTCTCTGTCCTATTACCCTTTTCTCAAAAGTAGCCAGTTCTTGAAACTTTATTATAAGTGGAAACCTCCCCAAAATGCATCTTCATCTCTTCTGACTCCTCTCCCAAGATGATCGCCTTATTGCCTGAAGCATGAAAATTGATTATCTTTAATATGACTTTAGTTTGCATTATAACAGGTTTGAATAGGGAATGTAAAATATCCAGACTTTCTTAGAACCAGCATCTTGGGTTTTGGTAGTGGATCCACAAGTTGTCTGTTTGCACTATAAAGAAGTGTTTCTCTGTGCCGTTTCTAGTTTTACTGTGTTGTAACTTGATGGAGTGACATACACTTTTCTTAGTAAATGAGGTAAAAAAGGTGCTCCTGCTCAGTTTTCACTCTGCCCTCAGAATTATGAACACCTTAATCAAATCTCCTCTAATCCTTCTGCTGTCCACATTTTGATCTTGGTTGCTTTAAGTAAGCGCCATTATAATTTCAACCACTGGACTTCTGAATTTCCACTTAATCTGTCCTCTAACGACAAGAACAAGGCTGAGGAGACTGTTCATGATTAAATGTGCCACTGGTCAATGACAGCAGTGTCCACAAAAAAAAAAAAAAATATATATATATATATATAAATATATATATATCACTCTACATATATATCCCCTTTTTCATTTATTTAGGCCTGCTCCTATTACTGTTGTTGGTACACCTTGTCAGACTTCTTTATTAAATTAGCTGTGAGGGCCACTGGGTGTTAATTTTCTTCCTAGGAGTTTCCAGCATTCAGTTATCACACATCCAGTCTAGTTCTCTATTACTAAAGCTTATGGGGAAATTTTCATGGCATTGATACTGTAAGAAGATAAAAAATTTCTAAAGCATTTTTTCAAGTCATGTCCCATGTCTTTGTTTTTCATTCAAGGCATTTTCTTTCAGTTCTTTATTTAAGTCTGTTGGCTATAAAACATTGCATTTTCTTTCAGTTCTTTATTTGCCTGTTGCTCATAAGACATTGCTCATTTAATGTGGTGTTTTCAGGTACAGGATAGTATTTTCCCGGGACTGGAACATCTGTCTGCAGTTGAGTGCAGAATGCCCTTCTAGTGGCAGCACGTGAATTTGCTTCCAAGTAAACCAAGGTTTAAACCGACACGTGAACTTTGGGGTCAAACAATGTAATGGGGTGGGCTGGAAAACTTTTTAAAAAAGGAGGTTTTTATTAAATGCCTTGAGATGTGAATTCACAAATATTTCAGCCTGGATTAAATTCCTTGTTAAGGACTAACCTCTGAAAGCATCTACTTTCTGCAACATCTGCTGTGGAAGAGGGACTTGGGCACTGGATCTGTTACTACCCTCTCGCTAGCTTGAGAGAGAAACAGATGGAGTCTCAGGGAAGATGTAGGATTGAAATCACTGTGATTTGGACCTCACTTGTAGTTCTTTAATTTCCCCCCAGAGAAAATTGTCAGATTGGAGCACAGGCATAATATATTTCTGCCTTTGTGTGCATGTGCATGTGCCTTACTGAGTCAGACTCTGGCCTCGATCACTTCCTCTGCTCGGGTGACCTCTCCGCATGAACCTCCTCAGCTGTGAGTAGGTGCAGTAATGTAGCCGTGTGTGATTCTTGAGCAAGTAAATAAGTCTTGCTTTTCACATTTAAAATCATCAGGAAAAAAAAAAAAAAAAAAAAAAAAAAAAGGCTGAATAAAGCCAGAAACTGTGATTTCATTTGCCAAGACGCATTTTCTCAACAGCAGGGATGTGTCCTGCAAATTGAAATCTAGAAAGTTCATGTCAATACAGAGCTAGCTGTTTGATCTGGGCACATAATGTGCTTTAATTGGCCCTGAAGGAGAGTTTGGTTTTTGTGTGTGTGTGTGTGTGTGTGTGTATGTGAAAAGCACTCTGAATCTGGTTTCAAAATAGGCTTTTAATAATAGAAATAATCTCTCATGCCATAATTTTGTTTGCAGGACATTATGGGACTTTGTGCACTTATTTTAATTGGTGTGAAGCGCTGAGAAGCACGCACCTGGGTCACTGGGAAGTGGAGCGTGTGTCTGGATGGAGGTGTGAGTGCAAGTGTTTCTGGGGACTTCAAAAGGAGTTAAATTTGGATGGTGTGGGAGATGATCTGTATACAAGAAAAGAGGTCTAAGGGGTAGTCCTGAGGAAGTGTGATCTTCTGGGGCTCATTCTTCAGTCTGGGTAGGAGCGGTTTGGAGGTTTGAAGGCCTG